AAAGACCTAGGCTTACATTTTGCTGTGTAGCAAAAACAAAGAATCAAACGGAAAGAGGGAGGAAACTCCACGTGGCCCAGCCAAAAGGAACAGGGAGACCACAGTGTGCCTCAGTGGGGAAGAGTGGAATGGAAGCTGATTTTCTTAATGAAGGTATCTCTATTGTCAGAACAGTTCCGAGTGGCAACAACGGGAGGCTGGCTTTGCAACAACAGCATACAGTTGCAGGAGTATTGCCCCTGCTGCATGTTTTCCCCCTTCCCCTTTGGTTTCTACCTCAGTGCCACCCAATGCCTGCTGTGAGCCAGGGGAATCTGCTATTGTTCCAATGCACCTGGGTGTGAAGGGAGTCACAGGGTCTGGCAAAGGAGCCTTCCTCCCTTCCCCACTTCATCTCTTTTACCCTGGTGATAATCCCTCCCTCTGCTGTCTCTGGCCTCAGCGATCCAGTTCTGCCTTTCTGGAATGTAGCTGGCCAGTTCTCTCCCCATCTTCCCCCTGACCTCTTAATGCCGTTTAATCTTCTTGAAGAACAATCTCCTCTACAAAGCAGAGTTGTTAGTTCTGCACGTCTAAGTGCAGATCATGAACGGGAAAAATGAACATGTTCCTTTACAGCAAAGGATCAAAACAGCAAATAAATGGCAATTTCCATCTTATGGCCCGCAAAAGTTTAACTGCAGTAAGAATCTGCTGGGAAGAGAACTTGGATAAGTCTTTTCACAGTCAGATAAGCTGCTTGAGTACATGAATATATTTCCCATTTCTTCCACAGTTATTTACATTAGCCCCCAGAATACTAATTCTCCCTAGTTTGCATCCAGAAAGGAATATGACTGAATCTCTTCAGTAAAGACATACTTGGAAGAGCCTTTTGTATTTTATTAAGCTTTACCCTTTGGTGCACAAATGGAATAAAATATTCTATTTGCTGGTAGATAAAAATAAGCCTCAGAAACATAAACACACCTAAGCTGATGAAAGACATTCCAATTACAACAGAAACAATCAGAGAGCTGAACAGAGCTGTCAGTATAACTTGCTTCTAATGAAATGATATCTTTTCCCAACAAATGATGGTTTGGCAGCTTACCATTTGTTGTTCTAATTGTACCAGATCAGTTGTGCTACTGACTGTGTAAAAGGCGACTTATAAATTATGTTTGTTTAGGGTATACAGATACTAAGAACTCCTCAAAAAACACACTTCTGAAATCAGACAAAACTGAACTGCAAAACAGATCAATCAGTTAATGAAAATCACAAAGCAGAAAAGATCTGAGGCTGCTTAACTAAGGCTGCTTAACAGCATCCCTGTCACTGTAGCTCGCCACCGACAGCCATTCAGTGACGGAAGCTGAAATTTCTAGCAGAAACACACCATTCAAGCACTGCTAATGCAAACTCAGAATCTGAAAAATACTATCAAAAGGTCTGCATCCAGTCATTCTTCCTTATTTTGAACATAAAATGATAAGACTGATGATCAAGAGAACTAAAATTTCTGCAGCCATTAGGTGAAAATGCACATCATCTAAAAACAGACAACCAACAAAAACAAAGCAACAGCCAAACAACACTCTCCATCACACCCCCCCAAAAACTGACCCAAACCAAACACATCCAGTATCACAACAGCCCGCAATGTTTCAAGCTGCAAGTCCTGTCAAAGTAGCCTCTAACAGCTGCTTGCTTGGACAAGGAATGTGTTCAACATAGTCACAGTGACACAGCACAGTGTTTATTGTCCAAATAGCTGAAAGATGACAAAGATAAACATGTGCACTCCATCTAAAAAGTGGGAGCGTATGCATGGAAACAAAAGCCACAAACACCTGAGTCACATATCACCTGTACCAGCCATCCCGCTCTGCCTTGGGCAATGGTTATGGGGCCCATGGGGCTTGGCACCGCTGGAAAGGGTCCCAAGGACAGCTGTGGCAGTGGCAGCAAATGCCAGTAGTTGAATTTGCAGCAGTGTTCTAATGTTTTAAGTAAGTTTTGGTCAGGTTTTAAGACAGAAACTAGGAAGAAAGCAAGTGATAAGAAGACATTCACAAAGGAGCACTATTATTTTCCACTATAATGAACCTTACTTTTCCCTGAAACAGAGAGTACTATTAAGTACCACATACTATTCATCTGAATCTTTTTCTTGGCTTGAAAATTGTTCCCTCTTCTCCCCACTCATCTAACCTTCGCTGCCTGCACTGATATTGCTACTTGTTGAGTACAGCTGTATGGCCTCAGAGTCCACGATAACAGTTCCTTCTGTTTGGTTGATCAATATTAAAGGTGCACCCTGAGTAAACCAAAAAAGCATGCAAAGTCGAACTGGACAAAAACCTGTGGTCACGCCCTTCCACTTTGGTCTCCTCATGCAGTCTTATTAAGAACGCTTTGTTTAAATCTCTATTTTCTTGCCCTAGTCTATCTGGCTAAAATCCTTTTTCATGATGACAGAGCGCTTTCCCACAATGTCTTAGTATTACAGAAACCACTGTTAAAACTATTCCATAATAAGCAACCCTCTCAAACAATGCCTGATAACCAGCCACCAAGATGAGCTACAGCACTACGCAATCCCATACAGTTAGATAATTGCTGCTAAATTTTTGAGAACAATCAGCTCAGGTGCTAAACATTCAAAGGTATTTCAAGATATTTTACTGATATTTTTTTGCAGCCTAACAACTGCAGATACACAACTGTATTTGGAAAAGCTACAAACTACCTCACTATAGGGTGAGAGATAACGAGTTAAAATTAAAGGTTGCTGCTGGCTTGCTAGCCCATCCCCCTTTAGCTAATCTGTCATGTAATGAAGAGAAGCACCTAGCATAGGACAGCTAGCTGCCGGCTCACTTACAGCAAGCTGATTAAGAATGTTCAACCAACAGCAGACTGCAGACCTTTCCAACAAAAATAAATAGACTGTATGCAAATGTGTTTGTCACTTTGACAGCATGTCTCAATTAAAGCATCTCGCTGCTGCTGGTAGGCTCTCTCACTGCAGTGGTATGGACGAGGCTTACTGCATTACTGATACACAGGGCTTGACCCTAATCCGCATGCATGCATTTTAAAAAAGTCTGCCTTTGCCATATACAGCAGCATAATACTAGCAGACATAGAAAGCAAGTGACAATGAGAAAAAAGCCTCTTTCATCCTCTTCGGTTTATAAGAACTGTGAATGCACAAACAGCCCTTATTTCAGAGTTCTTGTGGCTTTTTAATTGTTCCCACCTACTGTATTCTAGGCAGAGTTAAAAGTGACACTAAAATCTCTCCCTTTAATCACTAGTTAGAAGCCATCTCCCATTTAAACAGTAAATCTTGCTCCTTTTTTCCTCCCCAAAGCCTTAATTTATATTTCATAAACCTGAAGATCTTTTCCTTTTGAATGAAAGTATGATTTAATTTTCATTTTGGCATTGGGCTACCAGGAAAAAAGGACCCGTGAAAGGACAAAGGCTGTATGTGAGATAGCCCCACAACTGCCAAGGTAGAGCATTTTTTGGAAACCGACATTTGTAATGTAATGACAGTAATAAGCATTTAGCAATCGAGTCTTTCCCCACAGCCAGTGCTTCGGTAAAGGTGATGTGTGTTTCTTTTGACACAGAGAAAGCCATCATTAAAAAATTTGAAGGTGACCATTAAAGAAACCTCATAAATTTAAATTTGCACTTTCCACTCAATTATATATTTCATTAATCTACCAAAATGTTTGAACCATCCATCCTTCATAAAAATCTAAAGGAAAATAACTGGAAGCAGATTATAATATTGTCTGGATTTCTGACTGCTTTAAATGAAATGTAACATTTTCCTAGTAGAGCTAGATGGCTACACTTCTGCAGTAGCTCCAACTCCTCTCAACTGTATTGGCACAGAAAGCCAGAAAAAAGTAAATCACTACTGCAAATATTTAATTGGAAGAGAAGCTGTTTTAAAAAAAACGTCTCCCAGAACTTACATTTAGCAGAGTGGTGAAAGTTATTAAAGAAACAAATCGAATTCTAAAATGATACCGACAACATTGCTCTGAGCAATGATTATATCTCGTGTCGCCCTACCTGGTACCTAAACAGGCAATGAGCTGCACTGACTAGTTTCTGTTAATAGATACTTATCTATAAATATGGCTTGCTTTGCCTCCCTTTTTATAATTATCACTTATTTTACAATTTTTTAAAAATTACACTATGTTTCCTTAGAAGAAATTAGGTATTCACTCCTGTTTTCTGATCATAATACTGTAAAAAATGGATACAGGCAAAGAAAAGAGAAATGTGAACAAATAATGTTATTTTTTGAGTCAGACTACACTTAATAGGGGAATACTAAAAATCTGATAGTAAGTACTGTTATGCTTTTCCACGAAAAATCACAGTAACTGTAACATTTTCTGAATAATTAGCTCTTAAAAAAGCCACACAACCAAACTCACTCTTTTTCAGACATATCAAAAGAAACATTATAAGAGTAACTAATGGGTATAGCTCAGTTGTCAATACTGAAATACAGAGCACACTAATAAGCTATTAATTGACTTTTCCATCTTAGTTCACCACATTTAATTTTCAGAGAACGTTAACGCTTTAATAGTTGGATGTTCCATATTGACACTAATGATCTGGCTAGATAACAGAGGACATTTTAAATTATACATCCTCAGTCCTGAGGGCTAGAGCACTTTGCATGCTAAAAGAACAGCAAAATAGTTTATAGAATTGCTATAATAATTATACTTCCCTCCCCATTCACTTGGATTTTTTTTTCCTCAAACTCATCATATGAACAAAAGGAATCAGTAAAGCCCAGAAAAATCAGGTCTTTATAATCCCACAGAAACAGATACAGCAGAAATGAATGTGTAACAACATAATTCAGTTACAAAAAATAATGAAACAATGGCATATTTATTATCATGACTTTTCTGTGAACTAGTTTTGCTGAGTCACACAATTTAAAGAAACCTAGCACTAAGACATACCTGACCAAAATGCACTGTGATTGGTCTTCTGTCCTCTCTTAATTTAGGGTCCTTCTTGTCAACCAATGGAGACGGTGCTGTCCTTGGTAGAGATTCCTCCGGTGCTGCAGAACATCCATTCTCAGCAATGTCCTGTATGGTAGGAAAAGGTGAATAGCATGGCCAGGAACACTCTTGATTGAGGGTAAGGGGCACAAAGGAGACACTAGAGGATAATGTTGACTAACAAATTTGATGTTAGGGAAAAAAACCCAAAGAACAGAAAACATCATTAGGATAAAACATTTCATTGCACTTCGTCAATCAGAGCTTGTACACAACCCATGTCGCATGCAAAGAGACACATTCAATAAAATGCCTGACTTAAACATGCAAAAGCCAGAAAACATACAGGGAGAAAAAACCCCATAGCTCAAAATTTCTATTCTAGGAACAAATTCAACAGAAACCCAGGAAGAGGGCTATTTTGCTTTTTGTAAACCTAAATGAAAACAGTGATTCTATTTACGTACTGCACAGAATTATCTGTAGCAGAGCAATTACTTATGGAAGTGGCAAGGAGAGATGAAACTTGCAGCTTAGTTAGCTTTCCATTTTATCTTTGAGTCTGTGTATAGAGAATATGCCTTCAGGGGATCCTATAAAACAAACTGCTGCCTAGCAGGATGCTCTTTTGCTTTGCTTTGCTTTTGCTTTTGACATTAGTCCCCATCTTCAGAAGTAAAGTGACCCACCAGCCTAGGTTAGAAGACTTGGCAAGTGTATCTATGGTATACGTAACAGAGATTTTGAAAAAGACAAAGGCATGGAGACCTAAGGAATCAGACAAGGAGAAAAGAGTTTGAAAGTCAGTTGAGAAATAGTCTGTAACGCAGTGGGCCCCAAACCTTACATCTCTTTGCAACAATGTCAAGGAAATAATGCTTGGTAAATATAGAGAGAAACCTGCTCACACTGTCGCTCTGCAAGACTGACCTAAGGTTGGCTGCTGACACAGACATTGCTTTGATTCACTGACCTTTGACATGCCCCCTCAAGTCTCCGTCTTGCTAAGGTACAATAATGAGACATGTAAGCTGATGGCCAATTAGAAATGGTTCTTTTGGACACAGACTGACCTAATGTGTTTAGGTCAAATGAAACAAAAAGCTGGATGGACTTTCTAAGGGGCTTTGTCTGCTCCAAGAGAAGCTGAGAGACCTTTTTAGATCCAGCTGGTAGAGCAGTGGTTCGCCAATATGGGCATAAGGATCGTGGGGAAATTAACAACTTGTTAAGGTCAAACTAGAGAGAAAAACTTTTTCCTCCCCCCAGCCTCCAGCTGCACAATGCTACCTCGTCTTTAAAAAAATTCAACAAAGTACACTGAATTAGTAACAAAGAGCCCCAAAAAGGTAAATGACAAGTAACTGAAGCTTCTGTCCAACTCATACCTCAGCTCCAAAACACCAAAAGGGACCTGGTCAGTTTTGGAATCACGTAACATATGGCAGCAATGTGTATTGTTCTGAAATGTAATGACATTAAATACAAACTTTCTTTACGTATTTCTGTACTAGTATAGCCATATTAAATGTGCACCAAGCTTCAGACCTCTTATGTACGTGCCATAAAGGTGCACACCACTTTCCAAGCCACCTGACCTGCACTGAACAGTGGGTGTTCCCAGCACTTCAGAGCTTTCCGAGTTCCACCCAGAGCTGGGGCTCCAACCAAGCCAAGAGACAGCTGGGAATCAATGGAAAGCAAAGCATCTTCCCTTCCAGGCCAAATTTCCAGAAAAATGTAAAACAGATGCAAAAGTTGGGACATCAGGTGAATAGGAGGAGAAAAAAGATACAGACAGATCAAGCCATCAAGCAAAACTCCCTAAGATGTTTAATGATCACTGCAAATCCTTGCAGCTTTTATTGCCATGGATTTGCTGTACGTCTCCAATGATATAAATGCAGCAGCTTGGTTGGTGCCCGTGGGCAGTTCTTTGTACTGCAGTGCATCATACCGTGTAGGTATGTCCTAGGTCTGACTTCTCAGCTCCGTTGTGTCCCCAGAAGAGGGATTTGGTATAAGGCAGCAAGACATTCCTGAAGTAGCTTTAGTCATACATATTATTCAGGATAACAACAGAAAACATAAAACCTATCCCTCCCAAAAAATGGGAATAAATGGAAGGTGATAAGTTACTCATTACTGGAGTAAATTCTCCATAAATGCAAAAAATTTGCAACATTTCAGTGACTTTTTAATGAAAAGGAAATGTAATTTACGGATAGTCTTAAAAAACAAAAACATATTTTGGCTAAGGAGAAAAAGATACTTTATAGATTACTGGAAAAAGAGAATTACAATGATCTATGACACTCCATAATCATCTCCATATATAAACAGTGCTTCCCCTAACAACAGCCTGTTCAGGTGAAATCTTTACTACCTATTTACTTCAGATGAGGAACTTCAGAGAATGAGTAAGATATACACTTACAGATATGTAAAGTGCCCTGTAAACTGCATAAGGTTTTCTTCTGTTTAAACACGCACTTGTAATTTTTCTAGGGACCTTTTGTAATGGACTACAAATACAGTCTATTAGAAGAAAAAAAAAAAAACACATTCCAGAATGTCCTAGAAGGATTCTTCAGGTTATTCTATAAATTTCTAAATGAGTTGGTTCTAGCCATACTGACAATAAAGCACTGACAACAGCCCACTGATAACAGACATTAAGCCCTGTGTGGCTCTAGTAAGTAAAATAATGTTGAATACATTAACACCAAGTGCCCAACCATTTATATAAATTGTCTTATCGAGAAGCTTTCAGTAAGTTACATTCTCCTTACTGAAAGTTGAGGATGGTACCATCCATATTCCTCCTTCTTCCTAATTCTATGTAGTTAAGCTTCAAACAAGTCAATAACAAAGTGACTTGACCACCATGGTCCATTTGTGAAATGGAAAAAGCAGATTTTATTAAAAAAAAAAAAAGAAAATAAAAGAAAGAAAAAGAAGAAAGAAAAAAGTGCTATATCAGATATAAAATAAAGCTACCATGCTGTATCTATTAACAATTATTTGCTATCACTCCTAAGAATCCTCTGAAAACTATTTCTGTTGCTTTGAAATACTGCACCACAAATGAACAAGGGATGGAAATAGAACCCCATTCAATCTCTACTATCATATTAAAGAAGGACCTTACACACACCACAGTGACCTCTCAACAGGTCAATCCTGCATTTCCCATTTGCAATTCAAACCCAAGACTGGAGCAGACCAAGGGCAAAATGGGCTCTTGATTATATTTAAGAGGTCACCATTGCTATGCAGAGTTGTAGGAAGCAGACCTCTAGCTTTATTGCATTTTTAAATTCTATCTCGTACAGAAGCTGCTCATATTTGGCAGCAAAAACTGGAAAAGGGATGTTTACATTTGACTTTTCCTTACCAGTGGCTTGCATACTTTTTGTGTTAATAATGGAAAATAGTATGTTAAAATGCAGTGGACAGTAAGTTCAGTTTAAAAATAACCTTCGGTTATCCTTAGCAGATGAAAGACTACCATCCTAAATTTGGCAAAAATTAAGTATCTAACGATGCCAGAATTTCAAACAGTTATCACTTGCACAAACAAGTAAGTAAACACATGAAAAATACAATGTTCTCAGATGAAAATTGCTGAGGATACACTAACAGACTTGTCAACAGAGCAGCACACACATTTAGAGTAAAAATAACATGAGGGTGGCCAAAACAATCCTTGCTATTTTATCACTTTAAACAAAGCAATACCTCATTTTAGAGTTACCTTCCTATCTTGCATTGGAAATGGAGAAGAGGACGGGATAGAAACGAATAGACTTAATGAAGAAAGGAGAGGTGGAGCAGTATGGATCAACTGGTCATAGAAATCTTTTAAGATCTTGTGAAACCATATGTTGAACAATCATGCTTAACCATCTTACTTACAGAAATGCCACATAATAAAGAAGGTGAAACAAAATTGGGCCATTTATTTGTAAATGTTATGTGCGGTTTTTAAAAAGAATGCTTGCTGCTTGAAAGACTAGGAAGACAACAATAATCATAAAACAAAGCAATGAATGAATGAGACATTTCTCAGCCTTTTATACAAATGTCACAGAATAAGCATACCATTATCTTAGCATTTAAAACACAGGAAGACAATCTGGTCATTTTACACAGCCCCAACTGCTTTAGAAATGCACGTAAGAAGGCCAAACATTTTATTATTCACGAAGGTTATGTCCAGAAGTGAAACACATGGAATTACACAAAAAATTCCATGTACAAGAAAACTGCTTCATGTTTCTAATATTTTCATATTATACCTAAAGTAGTGACATATACAGCAGTAAGTGTAATGAAATAAAACAGCATTAAAAGCATCCGAAGCAACTTTATCCTCCTCAAAAATCTCTAGCAATATAAAGACAGATTTGGGAAACAACAAACAGTTTGAGTATTTTTTCTTCAATAATTCAAATTTGAAATGAATACCAACTCTAATTTAATTCCTTTATGCCTAAACTCTGCAGTAGACGCTCCAGAAACATGTAAATCCTTTTCCCAATGACCAACACTCTACTATTTTCCCTGAGAGATTACTTTAGAAATAACAATTTGTCACTTGCAAAAAGTTCACTTCCATTACTATAGGAAAGATCTCCCAGTTCACATGAAGTCCTCTCCACAGTGCCCCAGCACAAAGGACAGGAGAGGGACCACTCCAAATAGAACACTCGATTTTCTGGCTTTTGTGGGTTTAAGTCAGAGTCTTAATATATTTGAAGACAGTTTGTTGGTATTTTTTTTTCTGTGAATATTTCTAACAGTGTGAAAAATCCAGGACAGCTGGTAATGCATTTTGAAGTGTGCTAACAACACTGTATCAAACAGCTTCCTATTGATCACATAATGCTTTGTGCGGCTAAGTATTTCATACATGGTGCTTATACATTTTGAATAAGAACTTCAAGTACCTTTTGCTTCAAGCGGTTTTTCACTTCTTTTATTCCCATTTTTGCATGATCTTTTGCCTGCATGAAAAATTAATTTAAGTTAAAATTCTCTTCTATTGCCAACACTGACAATACTTGATTTCAGTGCATCAAGATTCACCTTCCCTAGTTACTAACAATGGCCAGGAAAAAATTGTAGCAGGATACTGAAAACATCTTAAAACAAATAGAAAGCTAAAAAACCCCCAAACAAACAAAAGACCAACACCACATATTTGTCGCAAAAATTCTGTTTTCTCTGCTTTGCTGACATAGACATCTTTCATCTTTTTGCATTCCACACCCTTGGTCTTCCCCTCTAAGTATTTATCTCTGCTATAAGTTAACAATCAACAGAAACAGTGAGCCTGCAAACTTTCTCCTTGCAGTACTCTGCATGTCCGTTCCATTTAGTAGACCTATCTCATCCTACTCATTTTTCTCAGGCTGGAGAAAATAAAAGTTTGAATAATTATCTCAATGCCTTTTGTAGCATTATTTCCTAAAATTGATCCTAAGATTATAAGAAATCCACACTTGTTTCTATGTCATTTTATCTTGCACAGTGGAACTGGCAGCCACACATGATAACACAGTAACATACTAGCTGTTTGTTAACAGAATTGGAAACATTTTCATCTAAAGAATAACTCAGTAAGTTGGGCTCTAAATAAGCAGGTATAGGAAATCTCTAGGGAAAAAATTTTAATTGACAGTTAGAAAAGACGGAAACAATTTGGAAAATGAGAGGATTCCCTTATTTCGATGAAGCTGCAAGCAGAGAAACCTGAGGTAACAATGATTTCCAACAGAGTAATGATGAGATGGTAGAGCTGCTTAGTAGAGCATATAGGCACTATTTCCCAGAAATAGTTCTATGTAATAAATAGAATTTATCATCTATACTTTCAAAAGAAATCACTAGTTCCCTTACTCCTTTGCATTTCAATTATGTTTAAATTTCAAAATGACTTTTCCATTTAAATTTGAAATTTAGATGAATGTGTATTTTAAAGTAATTTTGTGAGTCCAATAAAAATGAATTTAAGCCTTGAGTTTCAACTGAAAGGTTAAAACAGAACTGCAATTAGACTATTATTTCAGTAGTAAGACAGTACTTGATACTTACAAACTTATAGACAGTCTTCATGGCAGGGTTAGCCTTGGTCTTTACTGTATTTAAAATGGCTCCACTTCCTTTCTATAATTATAGTAACAATAGAATAAATTTTATCAAAGCTCTTTAAAGCAAACAGCAATCTAAAATCCACCATTCTTAACTTAAAATAACAAAGTATTAACTATGCGTCTTAGCAGAGCTCAATATTAAAAAGGTAAGTTTAAAGAAAAAAAACCCAAGTAAAAACACATTCAATGTTTTCCAGAGGAATCCCAATTCTGTTTAACACAGCAGTTTTCAAATGAAAAATGTCAGTATCTCCTAATGCCAAGAGCCCTTGTCTTCTAGTTCATCTCACAAAACAGTGCTCTGTGACGGTTCCACTGGCCCTCAAGGGTGTCCTGGACACTGCACTGAAATCCTAAACAAGTTTAAGACAAAAGTATCCTTCCAAATACTCAATATCTGAGGCAGAAAATTCAGCTTCAGGAAAGCCTGTACATTCAGTCTGAAGAAGATTTTTTTTCCCCTTTTCATGATTCCACAATACTATTTATCAAAAGCATGCTGCCTTTTAAAGATCTAAGTAGTTGATAAAGGGCTAGATTGAGGGAAAATGAAATCTAACTACAGCCATAAACATTAATTCCAGAAAAGCTGAATTGCATGTGGTGAACGTAATAGAAGTCATAAGACAGTAATATGTCAGACAGAATCATCTGTTAGTCTGGTCAGTGTCTTATACATCTTCCACACACCATTGACTATCGCTGTACGGTACCTTATTTGATAAATAGAGGAGATGGGAAAAAATCCAAGGAATAAAATCTTAGATAATTTTATATTTTCTTATTTCAATGCAAAATTCTATTTCCTGAGATGAGATGCAATCAGATGCAAACAGTTTTAAGCTTTACTACTTCTGCTACTACATGACAATTAATCTTCAACAAAAATTATAAACTGTTGAATTTAATTACACGCATTTTTATATTTAGGTCAGCCATTCCGCTTTCTTATAATTTTAAAACTACTTTTAATCTTAAGTATCTATACATATTTGTGTATATATATTTACCTAACTATAAAATGGGATTTTTTGCATTACTGTTACAAAATATATTTCATTCAAAATTATCAAGATAATATTGAGCCCAGCATTTTGTGTAAGGAACATAATTCCATTCATAACCAGGACAACAGGCAAATGCAATGCTGCAAAACTCAATTCTGTCAGAAAACAATTCAATCCTTCCTACTGACTTGTACTCATAAAACAGAAATATTTTAATTTTCAATACATCATATTTTATGCATCAAAAGATACTTCTAAAATCAGCTATAACAACATATTATTCTCTAAAAGTATTTAAATTTGTTATACAACTAGAACACTAAACCAGAGATCCAAAACCATCCCAAACAGTGCTGTTCCCATTCAGCACCTCAAACCACTCAGCTTTATAAAGAGCTTTTTGGTGTGGCAAGGTTCCCTTTTGTTTCCTTTTCTGTTAAAAGGAAAGAAAAAAATAACATTATTTTCTAAAATGACAATAACTTATTTCCAGCTGTCTTCAAGACATTAAAAGGGGGATTCAAAAACCTGAGAATTCCTATGGTGATTTTTTTTTTTTTTAGTGTATTTTTTTCTTCTGTTCTTTATTTCATCTGAAGAGCGCATTAGTTCCTCACAACTGAACTCAAGTTGGTCACAGCTAAACACTGCAGGAAACAGGTTAGTCATGTTCATGAGGACAGAGGTTAAAAGCCGTATGAAACTGTACCAGAGCCCAGTAAAAATCAGAATGTCTGTTGGAAGAATATTTGGTTCTTACCCTTACTGTAGACAGCCACTGGTGGTACAATTTGTCACTACCTGGAAAGAATCACAAACACAAACTGTAGCTCTCTATAAAATAGAAAACAGGCTGGAAATGTGAGGTGGTAGCACTTAGTGGTTCTGGAAGCATGAACAGTACAGAAACAGAACAGGACAACCGTCCTTTTAAGGGAAACCCAACAACAAAAAACTGACAAGACATCTACAATTTTACTTGCGAAGAGGCATTTCTATTTTATGTGGGTTGTCTTTCAGACATTTGAGAACACTGAGGTTTTTTTTTTAAGATTGCTAAAAGAAATTTGAGGTGGTTCTGGGTAAAGCCAAAGCTTTTTAAGGCTGAACAGACTTTATTCAGACTAAAATACATTACTCAAAGTTTTTGACAGATGAAAGAACAAAAATTTAAGACACTTCAACCCACAGGGATCATTGCAGCCCGTTATTTAGATCAGTAACCAAAATGACCCATTACATCATGACGGCCCACAAACAGTAAGCCAAGAACAGTGTCTGAAATTACTTTAAAACACTATATTTCTTACCTGCATATTCTCCCATATTTATCTCTTCTTCAAAAACATCACTGAAGCCCTCTCCAGAGTTAAGAAGATCCAGACGGCCATCAATGAACTACATCAATGTTAAAAGAGAGTGTAAACAAATCAACAATCCATCCTTTATCTTTCCAGAAAGACTTTATTCTGACTTTGCTAGAATAACTCCAATGTTCTTCTTGGGAAGGGACTATAAACAGAATTGAAATAAACCAAAACTGGCAAAAAGGTAAAAAACAGCATCAGCATTCATGTCTTTGTCTATACATACATATTTCCAGCTTCCCTGAAGCAGTAATAAGATGTTTCTGAGTAATACGCTTTCTGTACAAAGTTCACAGCAGATACATTGGGTTTAGGTATGCTCAGATCAAAACTGAGCACAGAGACCTTCAGGGGAAGAAGCCCACACACTTCTTGAAATACTGAAGGCCTTATCACCTGAAACTGAGGAAAGCCAGCAAGCAGGAATTAAGGTGCTGCCAACTACACAAATGTTCCTCGTTATGTGGCCAACAGATCAAGGAATATAGGAACAGCCCTTGAAAAAAAACACTTGCATTGTTAAAGAATCTACTTCTACATGAGAGCAATGAAGACAGTACCTGCTTAAAGAGCTGGAGCTGAATGGCGTTCTGAAGAAACTGCCTCATAACAGCAGAACGATGGGACACGAACGCTTCTTCACAGAAAGTGATGGGTTCACCCTGTAGAGTTCAGAGCATCAAACACTGAAAAAGCTTCGTCTGAATCCACTTGAATCTACTGTCTCCATTTTATCTGCTTCCTTTCCAAAATAAACAGATAAATAAAGCAGGCCTCACACAACACTGAGGACACTGTAGTCTATTTACAGGCTTCAATCACGCGACTGAGAAACAGGCTGGAAAGTGGCAAATCGCATATCATCACATTAAAACATATTTGTTTTATGCACATTTTGCTAATGCTGGTGAAGGAACTTTCATCATCCAAAAAGGTGATTTTACTTCATGTCTCCAAAATATGACACACAGTCATGTGAATTTCACCTACTCTGCCTATCTGCCTCCGTAGACCCTGCCAGCTAACCCGTACAAACAAGCAAGGAACGTCTGCTCTGTTCTCTCCACAGGTCAGAACGATATACTGAATGAGTAAAATTTCCCTTTTTCACAACCTTGTTTTGCAGCTCTACTTTTATCTTATTTTAATGAGTTATGTTAATGCTGAAGTCTGCTGTGCATCTGCCATAAGGGCACAAATTTCCTCCACACTTAAATCTACAAATACTCAGTGTGGCAAGCAAATATATTTATTGAATTAAAAACAATAAAGTAACGAAGAACGATAAGATTATACTGATGTATAATTAATACGGAAGCTTTTTCATACTCATATTAAAATACACTTGGACTCTTCATCTGTTGAGTGTTTAAAATCAACATTAGATGGCAAAAAACTTAAAGCACCCCAGAGAAGTTCAGAAGTCCCTGACTGTCCTGGCAACAACCAAAGCCACCAGTATGTTATCAGCCACCTTCTCAGCACAAATCCAAAACACAGCCTCTTATTTGCTACTATAAAGAAAGCTAACTCTGTCCCAGCCAAAACCAGGACAACTCCCTTTAAAAGCGTGGTACCATTCAACTTCTGAACGTTTTTTATATTAGCAATCTCATTTACCATTGGCTCTGCACAGTCAGGATACCAGGGCCACTAAAATGATTGCACTCAAAAAAACCCCGCATGCCACAGCATTGCTTCAGCATATTGTTTTTTCACAGTATTAAAATTCTTCCTGGCCTCCACTGAATTAGACAACCAGAATGACCTAGATGATACTCCATGTACCTCACCTCTAACCCAGCAGTCAACAGCCGCCAGAGTTGTAGAAAAGCGCAGATTATTCTATGATCAGAGTAGTTCACCAGAGGAACATTTAAGCTTTCATTTAATCCTCACTTAACAAAACACTTTGAAGGTAACAAGCAACACTTCCTATGAGCTATGAGAACCCAAAATCTCTCCCATGGCCAGAGATTCATAGAATCATAGAACACTTTGGGTTGGAAGGGACCTTTAAAGAGTAGGAACACTGTGGGAAGAGCTACACCTGCCAAACAGAAGCCTCCTCTGCCCCAGGGTACACCCAGCACTACGCCTCTCTGAGAACCCGCTCTATACCATTGCTATACACACACCTATTGCAGCTGGGGGAGCCCAGATCATTATCATGTTAACACACTTCCTTCCTCAAAGTGCTAATGATTGAGTTTGTTCATTAAGTTGATTAGACCTTTTGACTTCTTAAGAGCCAATTCAGGCTCAACTGCTGCTAGATGATAGGAAAAACTTTAATCATCAGGGTCAAGCGTGAGCTTTTCAGCTCAGAATGCATTAGTACCTTCAGTCCTCCATGACCTGCAGAAGGGTGAACACACTCTTGCTAACCCCCATCCACAGCTTCATTACAAAAAAGGCAAGACGGACAATAAGAGCATTTTCTTGACAGATTTAGTTAACTGTAAATTATAAAGCTAATCAGCTCTGCTTTTACTGACCGGTGGCATTATACATGAGGGGACATGCTAAGAACTGCGGATGTTTTGTGAAATGGTCTTGCTCACATGTAAAACAATTACAATGACTTGTCCTGATAAACCCATCAACTCCTAAACTTGCTGTTTCCAACAATTACAATTTAGGCCTTGATTCGTCAACACCTTAAATATCCATCATTCGCCTCTCCAACTATAAATGCACGGCAGAGGCTAAGCTGTGGTATTGCAAATGCTCTCAATGTGTGCACAATGCGACTCTGAGGAATCTGAGTTCATCTGTAATGTTAGAGAATTCACATATATTTCAAGATTGGATTGCAAAATAATTTTTAATACCAAAATTGACACATTTCAAATACATTTAATCTGCAATCTTAACAGAAGAGAAGTAACTTTCAAATATAAGTTTAAGATTTAAGACTCCCAGATGCATTGAAAAAATCGGTGTCTTTATCCTTTGCAGATCTCCCTTTATAGGAATATTTTACATTCAGATGGCACAATGAAGTTCATCAGGGTAGTGCTGCTATCTCATGACCCCTTAAAAAGCTGAAAAGTTTTAGCCCACATCTGATCTGTTGCCAGCCCTATTTTAAAATTGGAATTCTGTTACATTCTAAAAATAATATTTAAAACTACTTACGGCAGCCAGTGAAAACCGAAAGGAGCCTAGGACTTATTTCAGACTGTTCTAGAGTTTCATGAAACCTGCTGTTATATTTTAAGAAGCCGTAAAGCAAATTGAAAGACAAAGCCCAATTTTTATTAGCTATGGTGTAAAAAATTCCACCATGATCCCCCATCTTTCAGGGAAATAATTATTCCTCAGAAAGAAAATATTTCAGAAGAGGGTAGAGGACTTCGTGCAGACAGTTATTGCCAGTGAGAGAAGGATCACATCTGAACTGTCTGACTTGCCATGCCAGCAGACAGGCCAGCTAGCTGGTTACGGCAATAACACAGGGAAAATAAAGGAAGAAAAATAGGTGGTACAGAAGACAGTACACATGACAGAAGGACTTGGAGGAAGGGACAGAGGCAAACACAAATGACACTTCTGGAAAGGCACACAGCTGCTAAGATCACTCCTGGAAGTCTAACTATTCCCACTCCTGCAAGAGATGAGACACCAAAGTGTGCATCTGGATAACGGGGCTTTAATGCCAGCACATGACTGCTGGGGAAAACTTCAAGATAACAAAGATAGGGTTCAAATTAGGTCAACAGCGAGAGGCTCTTGCACAAGCCAAGATTTCACAAAACTTGATTGTAAGGGTAAAAAAAACCAAATCAAAACAACCACCAAAAAAACCAACCCAACCCTGAAGACTTTGTTTAGACAACCCTAAAAGTTATGCCACGGAAGATACACGTGATCTCTTCTGCATTATCATGGTCAGCATGTGGTGCAGGGTAATGAATTTCGTGCTGCTGTATGCATGTCTTTAAACCATGTAGGTGCTCTTTCAAAGCCTCTCTAATAAATACACAAGCCATTAGAGCTGCTCTGTAAACCAGCCACGAAATGAAAAAATGGGAGTGGAATTTAAAGGTGCAGAACAAGATGACAACACGACAGCCTACAAGCTGTAAGTTTAGTGTCAATATACTCTGCAGCAAAACCCCAAATACACAGCAAGAACAAAGACATGCAAGAGATTCATACATCACTGTTTTATTACTACCTAGATGTTGCAAACAACCACATCCTTTACTAAAATGGGTTATGTTGCAAATGATAAAGTAAAGCCTGTAGGGATATTCTAGGAATCATCATCCTTAACTCCATCCAGAATTATAATGAAACTACGATAGGAGAATGATCTTACTGATCTGGATATATATGTCAATGTCACATACAACAGCAACCAAAGGCAGCCAACCGCTCTGCAGACCTTTCAAGAATTTGTGATTACAATGTCGAGGAAAGATTAGCTCATCACAGCGGAAGAAAGATCATCAGTCAGCCAGCAGGATTCCATAAAGAAAATCTGAAATTGGTGACAGACACCTGATAGGACATCAGCTCATTCAGCTTGCAATTGCAACGACAAATAACCTCCCCATAACTAGTACATGCATTCAGCACAGGGAAGCTCTTTGCATCTGCCTCAGTCATAACAGAATCAAGAAAGCATAGATCAAATACTCTGCGTTAAGCAAATGATACCATTGCTTTATTAGCATTTCAAGATGCTGCTCAGGAACAAAGAAATCATGCGCTCAGAGATTTGACCACACTTCTTCTAAAGAAAACTAAATGAAGACTCTGTTCAAAAAGAGACTACCAGTTCTGACAAATTTGTATTGCTAAGTGTAATCTTAAAAAGCATTTAAAACCCATCTATTTACCAATGCAGGTGGGACTGTCCAAACACCGCCTCATGTAAATGCCCATTTCCATTACCAGTCCAACTGCAGAGTTTTTTCATGTTCCTCGCTAGCGTATACAGCCTCTGGTAGAGATACATCAGGAGTGAATATCCCTGACACTTCTTTTTCTCAGTAGATTTACAGTACCTATACCTTTTATAGATACTTTTTATAATAATTACAGTTTCAAACAAACTGTCCATTTCTCTAAATTCTCAACCCTTGCAATTGCTGGTGAATCAGAATTTCTGACAGCTATCATTCTTCTGCATGTGATCTGATAACTCCTCTAATAAGTTGTAATAACATGACTGAAGGAGAAATAAAAGGGAGAAAGATGATTGCAAATCAGTCAAATCACTGACATCAATCATAACACTTAATTACATCCCCTTCCAAATGTCATGTGTCAAAGCTTAGCTTATCCCTGTGCTGTGGATCAGGGGTGTATGTACTCAGCTGCATAGGCATTACCCTCACAAGAGCTTGGGAGCTTTCTCCCACAAAGCATTCCTTGACAGACCGATTACAAGGTGAGACAGACATGTTCAAAATAACTCAAACAACATGCTTCCCCAAACTCCTACCTTGGACATGACTAAATAGTCACAGAAGTGCTTTCTGTGATAGTACTATGAAGAAGCAGAAGGCAGCTTGCACTAACAAAAGAACACAGGATAACCTTGCAAAGATGGACACTTCTTTGTGGTTACCGGCTGTAACTCGGTTTTCACATGTAGATGTCGGAAGTTAATAAATTTTAAAACTTTACGTTGTGAACATTCTCAAGA